AGCAATCATACATCCTCCCCACCCCCATCCCCACAATCTCTTACCCCTAAGAACACACCAATCTATTTTCTGTCTCTATAAATTTTCTGTCTCTATTTTTGACATTTCATATAAATGGAATCACATAATGTGTGATCTTTTGTGACTGGTGTCTTCCACTTAGCATGTTTCCAAAGCCCATGCATGTTTTAACATGTACCAGAACTTTATTTCTCATTGCTGAATGATATTTCACTCTAAGGATGCTACATTTTATTTATCTCTTCATGAGTTGATAGACATTTGGGATTTTCTATTTTTTAGCTATTATGAATAATATAACTATGCACATTTGTCTACAAGTTTTTGCATGGATATATGTTTTCATTTCTCTTGGGTATATACTTAGGAGTAGAATTGATGTGTTACAGGATGATTCAATGTTTAACTTTTGGGGGAACTGCCAAACTGTTTTCCAAAATGCCTGCACCATTTTAAAATCCCACCAGCAATGTATAAGGGTTCCAATGTCCTCGCATCTTTACCAACACTTGTTTTTTTCTGTCTTTTTGGATGATAACCATCTTGGTGTGTATGAAGTGACATCTCATCACAGTTTTTATGTGCATATCTATAATGATTAATGATATTAAGCATCTTTTCATGTGATTATTGGCTATTTGTGTATCTTCTTTGAAATAATGCCTGTTTAAATCCTTTGTCCATTTAAAAAACTGGGCTGTCTTTTTATTATTGCATTGTAAGAGTTCTTTATATATCCTGTATACAAGCCCCTTATGAGATCTATTTAAAAATATTTTCTTCCATTGTGTGGGTTGCCTTTTTTACTTTCTTCATAGTCTAACTTGTGAATAACACTTTTGTTGTCATATTTATAAAATCATTGCCTAACCCAAGATCATAAATTTTACTCCTATGTTTGCTTCTAAGAGTTTATAGTTTAGTTCTTACATTTAGGTCTATGATCTAAATGTAAATTTTGAATTAATTTGTGCATATACTGTGAAGTAGGATTCGCTCTTTTGCATATGAATATTCAGTTGTTCCAGCACCATTTGCTGCAAAGACTCTTCTTTCCTCACTTACTTGTCTTTGCAACCTTGTCAAAAATCAATTTATCATAAATGTAAAGGCTTATTTCTGGACTCTCAATTCTATTCTAATGATTTATATGTACCACACTGTTTTGCTTACTGTAGGTTTGTAGTAAGATTTAAAATTGGGAGGGGCGCCTGGGTGGCTCAGTCGTTAAGCGTCTGCCTTCGGCTCAGGTCATGATCCCGGGGTCCTGGGATCGAGCCCCGCATCGGGCTCCCTACTCGGCAGGAAGCCTGCTTCTCCCTCTCCCGCTCCCCCTGCTTGTGTTTCCTCTCTCACTGTCTCTCTCTCTGTCAAATAAATAAATAAAATCTTAAAAAAATAAATAAATAAATAAAATAAAATAAAATTGGGAATTGTGAGTATTCCAAATTCCTTCTTTTTCAAGATTGTTTTGGCCATTGTCAATCTCTTGCATTTCCATATAAATTTTAAGATCACCTTGCAATTTCTGTAATTCAGTAATTCAGTAATGAACCAATAGTGCCAATGGTGAACTTCCTTCTTGTGGATTTGACCATCATCACTTCCATGAATTTTTTCAGAAATAGAATTTGAGTATTCTGACTTGCCCTGCTATACAACATTTCCATAACTTAGCAGTGGTGAAGTTTCACTGCAAATGTGTGAGCTCAGGGCCAAGACTGAAATTTTTGGTAATGAGAACTGCCCTCAACCACTCCTATGGAATGCTGAGTGGCTTTTGGAACACTGAATGGCTAATGGATATTACCTTTTATAACAGACTTGATAATGTTTCTTAATGAATTCATTAACAAACTACAAGACAAAATTACAAGACAAAACAAATACTTATATGCAAAAATTACACCGAGGTAAAGTCATTTCAATAACAACTAATATGTCACTCATAAGTAATGTCTCAGGCTGCTTTATATACTTCCCCTGATGCCAAAAGTTGTAACAAGAATTGAGATGTTTATCTCTAGTCAAATGTGCACCAGATGTACCCCAGTTCAAACTACAGTTCTAGTATTGTGTTTCAGACTTTAATGCAAATACAAAGAAAATTTCCCTATTCCAAAATACATTTAAGGGGAACTGCATGTCTCAGTGCATTAAGCATCCCACTCTTGGTTTCAGCTCAGGTCATGATCTCATGGGTCATGAGGTCGAGCCCAGCATCCTCCTGGGCTCTGCACCCTGTGGGGAGTCTGCTTAAAGATTCTCTCCTTCTGCCCCTTCCCCCCATCTAAAATAAATAAATAAATCTAAAAAAATACATTTAACTGGGCAATGAGGAGCTTCTATCTAACCTTTAATTGGAAGTAATTAATTGCAGCAATGGAATGGCACACTAAAACGGCAAATATCAAACAAATTTAATAGAATTCTATAAAAGTCTACTAAGAGGTGAATATTCTCAATTAAAATTATTAACTTATATTGGGAGGTATGAACTTCTTTGGTGATAATTGTACAATATTGTGAATGTACTAAAAAACCAGTGAACATATACTTAAAATGGTTAAAATGGTGAATTTTATGTTTTGTGAGTTTTATCTCAATTAAGAAAATTATAAACTCATGGATTAATATCAATATATGGCAATACCTGTTGGTGTGAAAGACATTTTCAAATATGGAATACATAAAATCTCATCACAGGTCAGTATTAACAAATGAATACTTGGAAATGTATTTTGACAGTGGGGAAAACTTTGAACCCCAGTTGAACAAGATGTTATTTTTTTAATTCTATTCTCATTAGTAGAACTGTCTTACAAAAAGTTGTATTCAATTATTAATAGTATATTTTCAATTTTATGAATAAAATTTTGTAAAAACTTATTTTCTTTTTTGCTATATAAGAATTACATAATATCCTCAATTTTGCCTCTTGACCTGCAAAGCCTAAAATGTTTACTATGTGACCTTTATAGAAATTGTTTGTTGACCTTGCTCTGGGTAAATGGATTAATGATATTTGCTAGGAATGAAATTTTTATCTATGGAATGTTCTTAATTATATATCCCTGATTTAGGATTGCTTAGGCAAACATACTTAAAACCTATGGGTTTATAACTTCCTAGAAAAGGTCATGCAAGCTATACAACTTTGAGGTATAAAATGGAGATGTGTTACAACTTATACACTCCCCACTGTGTAAGGTGACCCTCAAACCTCATTTAGAGGCCTCACTTATTCTAGACCACAGAGTACCTATGTGGTCTGAGAAGGAAGGACCTACAAAGCCAGCAGGATGCCCTAAACCTCTCCCTACTTGACATGTGCCTCTTGATTGCTTGTATCATTAAAATTTTTAATAAAGCTTGATGCTAAGTAAAATCGCTGATATTTGTAAGTCAGATATGACAGTTCAATTCCATGTATGAGATGAAATATTATTCATATATTTTAAAACCCAGGGACGCCTGGGTGGCTCAGTCGGTTAAGCGTCTGCCTTCGGCTCAAGTCATGATCTCAGGGTCCTAGGATCGAGTCCCAGATTGGGCTCCCTGCTCAGCAGGGAGCCTGCTTCTCCCTCTCCCTCTGCTGCTCCCCCTGCTTGTGCTCTCTCATGCTCTCTCTCTTCTGTCAAATAAATAAATCTTTAAAAATAAATAAATAAAACCCAAAGTAAGTTTTTAAAGAGTCACAACAAGCAATTTTGGCAAGACAATTCCAAATATTATTTCATGTTTGGAGTAAAGAATGATGACTTTCTCTTAAAGTAGGTAAAAGTGCCATATTTTCTAAAAGAATTATTTAGTATACTTTGGTAAGGTGCATACGTTACCTTCTACTCAATAGTCTACATATATCTTGAAGTCCCTTTAAGTTCAGCCCCTTCTGTATTTAAAGATATTTGTAATTAAATATCTCTTCATAGAAACAAACCAATATATGCGAGTAATAAGGATGCTAAAACCAAATGTACTACACCATTTGTGCATAACAAAAATTAAATTTGATCATTTCAACCCTGTTCTACCTAAGAATTATCATCTGCTTTTCAAGTTTTGAAAAATGATTATCCCTTAAAATTTTTTATGAAATGTATCTTTGCCTTTGAGGTATATTTTTCTTCCATTCTTTATGGTAAATTCTTAAATTTACACCAAGAAAAATCTTCCACCTCAAAACTATAGAGTTTTCAGAAAAAACAAAACAAACTTCCAAGCAATTTTTATTGATCTCCCTTGGAATATTTTGATCCTGATGAGATCTACTATTATTAATGCCTTTTATAACTTTGGTCCTGTGAAATACTGTCTGCATAAATTTATAATGTTTCTATGTTGGTTTTTAGACTCCTTATAACTGACTGACAAGAAAAAACTTGTGAAGATGAAAAATTTTTCACACTATTTCATTTTATGAGTGACAACTCGTTGCATATCAAGCACATCATGGAAACAAGACACCCTCATGATGATGATGAAATTGAAAGATATTGAATCAGATGAGGACATTGGGTGGCTCAGTCGTTAAGCACCTGCCTTCGGCTCAGGTCATGATCCCAGGGTCCTGGGATGGAGCCCCGCATCGGGCTCCCTGCTCCGCGGGAAGCCTGCTTCTCCCTCTCCCACTCCCCCTGCTTGTGTTCCCTCTCTCGCTCTCTCCGTCTGCTCGTGTCTCTCTCCGTCAAATAAATAAATAAAATCTTTAAAAAAAAAAAGATACTGAACCAACCACAAAATTGGTCAGCAGGAGAAAGACAGAAAGCATTTAGTAAAAGTACTTTACTTGAGTGGCTACTGCCATTGTGAAACAAACATAGAGTTGTAAATACATTATGTATCTTTCTTTGTTTTTGTTTTTAAGGAAAAACATTAATTTTGGGGCTACGTCCAGAATAGCATCATCTACATGGGCATTCCCTCTTCCTACAGTCTCAGAGAATCTTTGATAACTACTTGAGAAAATGCAGAAGATCTTGCAAACAGATGACATTCCCAATACCCAAGCTCTTAGAAAAGGAAAGAGGAAAAGGACAGAGACAATGGACTCAGAGAAGGCAAATAGTGACGTGGATAAAGGACAGGTTGGTGTTCCGTTACCTCAGTATAATTTTATTTTCTAGCGCCAGCATAATTCCATAATCCTTTTCATAATTTTTTACTTAGGACTTTCCCTTCTTCTATTAAGTTATTGTTCCTTTTAATTCTTTGTTCAACCAAGGGAATCAAATTTCATGTTCTCTTTGTAATGTTGCACAAGTTGAGTTGGAAACATACTCAAAAGAAATTTTACCTGCTTCTATTCGAGTGTGGCCAATTATGCCATGGTTCAAACTTTCCCTCATAATCTGGAAAATGAAAGAGCAGCAAACTTGTCAGAAACTATTTCTCCTCTCAAAAAGTACTGAAGAAATTGAAATACCTTTACTTTAAGATTCACTGTGTCTTTTCTTTTTTAACTCCAGTTTGTGGCCCATGTTCATCACTGGTTTTATCTGGGCTCCTTTCTTATGTTTATTGATTTATTCCTTTTTAATCTGAATTCCCCACTCCCAATGTCCTCTTATGCTTTGGACAACCCAATAATGTGTTTATTCTGTTTTCATTTTATTTGTATGTCTTTGTAATACATATATTTTTGTATGTCTTTGTAATACATGTAGTTTGTTATGTGCATGTATTCTTATTTAATTTTTTAAATACATACTATACATTCTCATGGTTTAAAATATTTTTTAATCTTCTGGGGACAGTGTCTAGAGGCATTCAGGATGGTCCGGCATTTGACACACTATCATAGGGTATCGACAATACACCCCTACTTTCCCCAAACCCTGGTAATGGAACTGTTTATCTTTATACCAAGAAGATTGGGAAACTGGCAAAATTTGCTTGTGGAGTGTTCTCAGTCCATCTTTAAAGAGTTTGTGCTGTGAGACTTAAAGTTCTTACTTGGATCTAGGGGTGCCTGGGTGGCTCAATTGGTTAAATGTCTGACTCTTGATTTTGGCTTAGGTCGTGATCTCAGAGTCCTGAGATCAAGCCCGAGTTGGGCTCCTTCTTCAGTGAGGAGCCTGCTTGAGATTCTCTCTCCTTCTCCTTCTGCCCTCCCCCCACCCCAGCTCGCACATGTGCATGCTCTCTCTCTCAAGTAAATAAATAAATCTTTAAAGTTCTTACGAGGTTCTCTAAAATGAAAAAAAACATGTCAGCAGGGCCCATGGTGGTTCCATGTGTGCTAAATGTGTACATGACAGGATTAAGTGCACTTTATTGAGCAGCAAATGATTGTTAAAGTGTTGAAGGCACAAGAACAGAGTCAGAAAGCTAAATAAAAAATAAAGTTTTTCTGAATTAAAAAAAATCAGAAGGTATATATTTTAATATATATAAATATATATATTAATACACATTAATATATATATTTTTTAAGGTAAACAGTGAAAATTCTCCCTCACATCCCTGTCTCCCATCCACCCTGTTCCCACCTCCTACCCACCCATTATAGATAACCACATTTATTGCTTTCTTGTTTATCCTTACAGTGTTTCTTTGTTCAAATAAAGCAAATATAAAAAATAGATATTTTTGTCCCCTCTTTTGCACAAAAAAGTAAATTACCAGATATGCTGCTTTGTATTTGCTTTTTGACTTAACATTTTTTTAAGATCTTTCCGCTAGTATATAAAGAACTTTCTCTTTTTTACAGCTCCATATTATTCCACTGTGTCTATGTACCAGTCTTTATTTAGCCAGTCTCCTATGATGGATACCGCTCGTTTCCAACCTTTTCCTTCTTACAGATCACACTGCATTGTACAACCTTATAGATACATCATTTAGTAGTACATTGGTATCATGATATATATTTCAACCTGTTTCTGATTTTTCAATCAGCTCTGTTTTTAACATCTACTTACTTGCTATTATATGTCTGATCCATTGTATCTAACTACTGCATAGCACCAGATTTTACTTATCCTTTTCTCCAATGATTAACACCTAAATTTCCTGTAGCATCTTGCTACTACAAACGATGAAAAAATAAATCTCCTCATACCTGTCTTTTTAAGAAACAATATGAGTTTTTCTCTGGAATAAACACATAAGAGGGTGATTTAAGGCTTATAAGTTATAGGTTTGTTTCTACTTCATTTGACTAGATATTATAAGACTGCTTTCCAGAATGTCTACATCAGTCCATATGCCCAGAAGCAGGGCATGAGGGGCTCCTATATTTGTATTTCCCTACCAACACTTAGCATTGATATTCATATTTCATTTTTTTGGCAATGACGGGAGAAAATGGCATCTTATTTCGATTTAATGGTGCAGGTTTGGGAGACCCAGTGGTTCCTTGAGGAGTAAAGTAGTCGCATGATCTTAAGCCAGTGTTGTGATTTCTTTAGCAATTTGTTTTCTTTAAAAAGTTTATAGCTTTCCAAACTACTTATTTCTATTTGGTTCCATGGCAAGTAACTAAGCCAGAGATCTTATTTGGTCATAAATTAGCCTGAAAACTCTCCTCTTTTTTTTTTTAAGATTTTATTTATTTATTTGACAGAGACAGCTAGAGAGGGAATACAAGCAGCGGGAGTGGGAGAGGGAGAAGCAGGCTTCCCACTGAGCGGGGACCCTGATGTAGGACTCAATCCTAGGATCCCGGGATCATAACCTGAGCCGGAGGCAGACGCTTAACGACTGAGCCACCCAGGCGCCCCCCAAACTCTCCTCTATTATTATGGCATCTGCGCTCAGCCTCTTTTCTCTCCAACTTATGGCAGTTACCTGATGGCCATGTGAAACAATAAGCTTGAAGGTAACACACTGAAGTTGATGCTTACCATTGGGATGGAACTCAATGGATATCAAGAGAAGCTCTTGAGAAAGCCTTGAGATCACAGTCTTACCTCCTGCTATTTAGATGTAGAGGTAAATTGCTTTTCCACTGATTACCAGTAAATTTAGATTATAGGCTGCAATCTCAATAGGTGGAAGGAGAAAACCTTCCATCTCTGCAAACTGGCTGTCACTGACAAGAAATCATTGGTACACACCGTCCTTCTTTTTTCCAGGCTCAGTAAGCACATGATCTGCCTTCTAAGGTATTCCAGGTGACAGTTTTACCAAATATGTCACCAAGGTCGAACAAGAGTCAATAGCTTTTCAATATGTTATATCTCTGCTTTTTTGGCCCACCACCTGATCTCTAAGTAATTCAAACATATGTCAGGTTTTGGATATCTTGCTTCTGGATACCAAAATCTGCATTACTTATGATGTGTGTTTCAAAGGCTATAACAAAGACCCCATTACATGATGGAGGTTTACTTCCCTTTCACATAACAGCAAGGGCAGTTGGGGTTTACTATGGCAGCTCCACAAGGTTGAGGATCTCTCCTATCTTGCTGGTCTACCTTACTTAACATGCAGCCTCTATCTCTGGGTCTAAACTGACTACTCAAGGGGTGCCTGGTGGCTCAGTTGATTAAGCATCTGCCTTCAGCTCAGGTCATGATCACAGGGTCCTGGGATCGAGTTCCACATCAGACTCCCTCCGCAGTGGGGAGTCTGCTTCTCCCTCTCCCTCTACTCCTCCCCTTTGCTCATGCTCTCTCTCTCTCAAATAAATAAATAAAATCTTCTTTTAAAAAAATCCCTTTACATTCAAAGTAATTATTTGTAGATATGTATTTATTGACATTTTGTTATTTGTTTTGTGGTTGTTTCTATAGATTTTCTCTGATCCTTTCTTCTCTTGCTCTCTTTCATGGTTTGTTGGCCTGATACACTTGGATTCCTTTCTCTTTATTCTTTGCCTATCTTCCTGGTTTTTGACTTGTGGTTACCATTAGGTTTGCACATAACACCTTCTGCATGGAACAGTCTATATTAGGTTGATGATTGCTTAATTTTGAAGCCATTCTTTACACTTCTCACCTCATTTTAGGTATATGGTGTCATATTCTACATCCTTTCATTTTATGAATACCCATGACTGGTTTATACAAAAATACTTACTTATACTGCTTTTGTATTTTTTACTTTTCATACTCTCATTTATGATCTTTCCTTTCCATTCAAAGAGTCCTCTTTAATGTTTCTTGTAGGGCTGCTTTAGTGGTCATGAATTCCTTTATTTTTTGTTTTTCTGAGAAACTCTTTATCTTTCCTTCTATTCTGAATGATAGCCTTGCTGGATAGTCTTGGCTGCAGATTTTTCCCTTTCAGCACTTTGAATATATCATGCTGCTCCCTTCTGGCCTGCAAAGTTTCTGCTGAAAAATCCACTGACAATGGATTTTCATTGTCATTATGGAGTTTCCCTTGTATGTAACTGTCTTCTATTCTCTTGCTGCTTTGAAATATTTTTCTTTATCATTACTTTTTGTCATTTTAATTACTGCGTGTCTTGGTGTGGACTTCCTTGGGTTGAATTGGGGGGGAGATCTCTGTGCCTCCTGGACATGGATATCTGTTTCCTTCCCCAGATTAGGGAAGTTTTCAGCTATTATTTCCTCTTATAAATTTTCTGCCCCCTTTTATCTCTCTTCTTCTTCTGAGATCCCTATAATGAAAATGTTATTATGCTTGATGGAGTCACTGATTTCCCTACGATTATTCTCAATTTGCATAATTTTCTTTCCTCTCCTTAGCTCAGCTTGGTTACTTTCCATTACTCTGCCTTCCAGATCATTAATTAATTCCTCTGCTTTACCTAGTCTGCTATTTATTCCATCAAGTGTATTTCTTTTAAAGATTTTATTTATTTATTCATGAGAGACAGAGAGAGAGGCAAAGGGAGAAGCAGGCTCCCAAGGAGCAGGGAGCCCAATGTGGGACTCAATCCCAGGACCCTGGGATCATGACCTGAGCCAAAGGCAGACGCTTAACCATCTGAGCCACCCAGGCGCCCTCAAGTGTACTTTTTTAAGATTTTTTTATTTATTTGAGAGAGAGAGAGCACACAAGCAGGGGAAGGGGCAGAAGGAGAGGGAAAAGCAGACTCCCTGCTGAATAGGAAGCCAGACATGGGGCTTGATCCCAGGACCCTGGCGTTATGACCTGAGCCAAAGGCAGACACTTAACCAACTGAGCCACCCAGGTGCCCCAACCATCAAGTGTATTTTAAATTTCATTTATTGTGTTCTTGATCTCTGATTGGTTCTTTTTTTATCTCTGTGTTAAAGGTCTCACTGATGTCCTCCACTCTTTTCTCAAGTCCAGTGAGTATCTTTATGATCATTACTGTAAAATATCTATCAGGCATATTACTTATATCTGTTTTGCTTAGGTCTCTTGCTATGATTTGGTCTGCTCTTTCATTTGGGACATATTCCTCTCTGTCTCTTCATTCTGTCTAACTCTCTGTGTCTCTTTCTCTGTGTTAGGAAAGTCAGCTACTTCTCTTGCTGTTAACAATCACAGCCTTATGAAGAAGAGGTCTTGTAGTGCCCTGCTATGCAGTGTCCCCTGTTCCCCAGGGCCTAGCACTTCAGGGAGTATCTCTTATGTGTGTTGCTTATGCTCTGCTAGTGAGTCTTGGCCTCTTCTTCCTTCAACCCCATTGTCTGCAGAGGCTCTCTTTGCCAGCAGGGTTGGGGCCCAATGCCATCTTCTACAAGGTTCTGGCATTGTGTGGACTCACTGTCTACACACTAAACTATTTCTATTTCACCAGTTTCCTCAGCACTTACCTGTCTCCTGAACAGGACACAGGGACTATTTGGATTCTCTAGCTGCTTTTCAAGAACTCTGGAAAGTCTGGCTACTTTCTCTTATCCAGCTATCTAGATAGTAATTTTAGCCATTTCTGATTTATGATCCAGAGAGGCCCCATATTGCCCTGATGTTAATGCTGGACATGGGACCTCTTTAAGGAGTTGGGGTTTTTGTTTTTTAAATAATTTATTTATTTATCAGAAAGAGAGAGTGGGCACAAGCAGGGGAAGTGGCAGACAGAGGGAGAAACAGGCTCCCTGCTGAGCAAGGAGCCTGATACAGGACTCAGTCCCAGGACCCTGGGATCATGACCTGAGCCAAAGGCAGAGCTTAACTGACTAAGCCACCCAGGTGTCCCTCTTTAGGGAGTTTTTAATGCACTGAGAAGCAAGGAGCCAAGGCCCTGTTGTTCTAGAATTGCTCTTCATTTATCTGGATGTTTCTATCATATACCCTTGCCCCTGCCCATCTCCTTTCCCCCCGAACAGTGGGGTCAGGAAGAGCAAAGACACTTGAATCTGATTTCCTGCCCTCCCAGCTCCTTATTTTCCAGACTTCTCCTGGCACCAGAATGTCTCTTTCCTTCCTATGCAACAGAAACTTCCTTTATGTCATAACATTATCTCTTCTACTCTAAAGTTTATTTTTTAAAAAACTTTATACTCCAGGGCTGCCTGCAAGGCTCAGTAGGTTAAGCGTATGCCTTTGGCTTCGGTCATGATCTTGGGGTCCTGGAATCAAGCCCTGGATCAGACTCCCTGCTCAACAGGGAGTGTGCTCCTCCCTCTCCCTCTGCCCCTCCCCCCCACTTGTGCTCTCTCTCTCTCTCAAATGGATAAATACAATTTTTTAAAAAAATAAATAAAATAAAAATAAAAAATAAAAACTTTATACTTCAGCCTTTGGATCTTTATAAATTCCATTTTTGCTCTGATTTTACATATATATACATATATATACACATATATTTATGTATACACACACACACACACAAGCTTAGTAATTTGAGTAAATCCTTTTCTGTCTCAACACAGCCTGGGTTTCACAACCCAAATGCATGTTTTCAGACTATTGTCTTGCTATTGACCTTAAAAATTATTTCTAAAACTAAAAGGAAAGCATGAATGCTTTGTTCTGGGTGAATCTTCTCTCTCTTTTCTCTGATGCAATAAACCCCAGATTTCTCAGTCTCAACAGAGATGCTGTGAGGGAAAAGTTAGGGCAGAAATGGAGGGTGGGGATGAGTTATAAAGATCTGAGTGGCAGTCTGGTTGATTCTTCCCTGTTTTACCATTTTTCTACTTCATATTCTTCACTGAAGTTAGACAGAATCCTGATTTCTGCTATGTGACAGATGTGTGCATGAAACTTTGATGTCTTCCCTTTTCTGAGCTCCCCTGGAGGGGGTAAGACAAAGCTGAGGCTAGTTCACTAGGTAAGACAACTCTTCATCCAGAGCAGGAAATTCCTGGGAGATGAGGGATTCATAGGTCTGATTAAGTCCCTTCAGCATACAGAACATGGGGTAAACCATTAAAGTCACTTTGAAGCTTCTTTTGTTGTGCCTGCCTTGTATTTTAGAGAGACCCATATTCAGGAAATGCCTTTCTGCCTGGTGAGAGCTCCAGTGAGGATGAAGAGCCTTTAGCAGAATTGTCAAAGGAGGAATTGTGCATGAAAATAAAAAGCCTGAAACAAAAACTAACAAACACCCGGAAAGAAAACAGCCGACTTCGACAGTCTTTGGTCATGCTTCAAGGTAAACTTAGAGAAAATTGATAGTTTTAGATAAAAGGAAAAATATATGATGAGTGAAAATCATTGCAAATCAGTACTTAGAGAAAAAAAATCAAAAATCACATTTTAAGAAAATCTGTGATTACATAAACACAGAAGCACTCTTCTTGAAGCCTTTAGTTTATGGCTTAGAGAATTTTTGATTATTCCTACAAAATACCAAATGTTGTATTCATTTAATAACATTCAGTGGATATTTACTGAGCATTTATTAGGGGCTACTCACTATGGTAGGTCCCAGAGAGAAAAGATTAGTAAGACAGAACAAATATGTTATCATGTTCATGATGTGCTATCTCATTCCCCTCTGTTAGGGAAAGCACTAGAAAATGAGACCTGTTATGATGCATTATAGAACCACTGGAATTAAAGATCCTATATATTGAAGTGTAGTTTTGGAGTTCGGAAGAGTAGTCTGAGAAAAAAAATCACATTACACTGAAGACTAGTAAAGAAGAAAGATCAGTTTATGCAAATTAAAAACCACTTGGTATAATGTCTTTTTTAGGATCCTATATTGTATTTAAGTGTTTATTTTTCAAAAATTGTGTTTTCCATTTGCAGTTAAGCATCATGCACTATTTTGTGCTGCTGAATATTTGGCAAACATGTCTTGTGTTGGGCAGCGTTCTGTTGTAAAACAGTAAATACACAGACCATTTTGAAAATAAATCCCTCTGGCTGCTGTGCACAAAATGAGTACAAATAACACAAGAAAGAAATCGGGGAAGGGCCACTCTCCAACAGTATTGCAGTCATCCAGACTAACACGATGACAGCCTAGCCCAGGGTAATGGCTATGGAAGTAAAGAGGACAGTTCCACATAAATGTGAAGGCAGAAATGATAAGAGACAGAGCATGGTGATGAGCTAGATTTCCATTTCGTGGTAATGACTCACATGCTTTCCTAAGAATATTTATCACATTGAAGACTTCATAGCTTTAAGTAGAAACAGCTACAGCTAAAATATGTTTATTCCAACATCAAGCCATTATCTCTATTTTTTTTCAACTTTAAGTATTGAATTTTTGTAACCAGTTTTTTTTTCTGGTGAGGTTTTTGTGATTTCAAAGAACAGATCATTCTCATTTTCATATAATCTGTTCCAGGACTTAGAGTAAGATGAAAATCTAGTTTATAAAGTTAGCATAAATTGCTGGTTAAAAGTATTGATTTTTGAGTTACAGGCCTTGGTTTGAATCCCAACTCTACTTACTGGCTATATAGCTGTGGCCATGTCACGTTACTGGGCCCCCAGCCCCAACTTCAATCTTTCCAACTACAAAATGGGAGTCAGGGGGCAACTTATCATGTCCTTGTTGCTGTGAAGATTAGAAGAGATCACTGGAAGAAATGCTTCACCCAAAGCACATGATAGGTGCTCAGTAATGATACTTATTATTGTTATTGTTTCTGCTTTTATCAACACCAGAACCTGACACATAAAAGCCCAAAAAGAAAATTATTACACCGATTTTTGTTAGACATTTAGGTGAGAAGATTCTAAGTGTGAGTAGCAAATGAATTTCAATGGTATATGAAAAGAATCACTATGACAAGCTTCTTCTCCCTCCCACACTCCCAATTGCCATTTCATTTTTTTCTTTCTGCCAACTTCTCACACCTCCTCCCATATCCTCACTCTCAATTGATGACTTTGCTTCTGACTTCATTGAGAAATTGGAGGATATGAAAGAGACTATCATCTCCCCTGCACCCACGCTTTATTGTTTTGTACTTTTGTTTTTTAAGTAAGCTCTATGCCCAACTTGGGATTTGAACTCACGACCTAAAGATCAAGAATCGCATGCTCTACCAACTGAGCCAGCCAGGTGCCTAACCCTGCACCCATGCTTTATGCTTCACTCTCTCCTGACATTCATGATGACCTATCCTCTCATCTAGCCAAAGGCAGTATCTCCACCTATGCATCAGATGCCATCCTCTTTCACCTAACTAAGGACATATCTCCAGAGCTTCTGCTGGCTCTAACACAAGATAAAGTTTTCCTTCTCTAATGAATAATTCCCATTAGCATAAGACTTAGTATTATTTCTCACATTTAAAAAACAAAACCAAACCCCTTTCAGGCTATTTGTTTCTCCACCTTCCACCCTATTTCTCTCCTCCCCTTTATAGGAAAAACTCCCTAAATGACTTGATGCTACACACTGTGTTCAATTTTTCCCCTTCTATTCTCTCCGGATCCACTTCAATTAGATCTGGATCTACTTCCTGATCGTTCTATCGTAACTTCCTTTTTCTTGTTCACTAATAACCCCCATATATGAATTTACTGGTAACAAAGTACCACAAATTTCATAGCTTAAACAGCAGAAATGTGTTGTCTCCCATTTCTGGAGGCTAAGATTCCAAAATCAAGGTGTCAGCACAATCACACTCCCACTAAAGGCACCAAGGAAGCCCTCTCTCCCAGCTTCTGGTTGTTCTTTGACTTGAGGCCACGTAACGCCTGTCTCCCTGTGGTGTTCTCCCCGTGTCCTTATCTCTCACCATGTCTAAACTTCCCCCTTCTTATAAGGACACCAATCATACTGGATCAGGGCCCACCTTAATGACCTCAGTTAAACTTATTACATCTATAAAGACCCTACTTCCAAATAAGTTCACACTCTGAGGTACTAGGGGTTAGGACTCCCAATTTATCTTTTTGAGGGGATACAATTCAACCCATAACATTCCATATTGCTAACCTCAAAAGCCATTTTTTTTTTTTTTAGAGAGAGAGCACAAAGGGAGAGTAAGAGGGAAAAACAGAGAGCCCAATGTGGGGCTTGATCCCAGGACCCTGAGATCATGACCTGAGCCCAAGGCAGACACTTAACCAACTGAGCCACCCAGGTGCCCCTCAAAAGCCATTTCTCAATGATCATCAAATTGCCCTGTGACCAACATTTGAGACATTTGGCTTATCTCTCCTTCTCTGGAAGTTTCCTCATTTAGCTTCTCGGACATCACATTTACCAGTTTTCCTCTTACACTGCTGATCTTTCTTTCTATCTAAATCCATATGGCTGATTTATTTTATCATCTTACTCTCTAAATATCTGATGATGCCCCAAACTCAGTCCTTTAACTTCTTTCCTTTCTATGTACATTCACTCCACAGGTGATCATATCCAATTATATGATGTTAAAATCCATCAATAAGCTATGATTCTCTGGCCTGGACTCCTCCCTTTAACTCCAGACTCATTGTCCAACTGTGTACGTGACATGACTGATAGGTGTCTCAGACTAAATGCCCAAAACCACACTCCTGACCTTCTCCCTCAACCTGTTTTTCTCTTTCTTCTTCATCTTGGTTAATGCTAACTTCATTGTTCCAATTTCTCAAACGAAAAACCAATTTCTATATTTCTTTTACATTTTACATTCAGTCCATTGGCAAATCCTACTGGCTTTACCTTCAGAACATTTCTGGGATACAATCCTTTTTACCACCCCTACTACTGCCACTCTAGTCCAAGCCACCATTATCTCACACGTAGATTATTATGGTGGATTCCTAGCTGGTGTCACTATTTTTGCTCTTGCTTTCCTCTAGTCTATGCTCAGCACAGTTGCAAGAATAATTCTGTTAAACATAAGTCAGTTCATGTCACTTCTCTCTTCAAAACCCTTAAGTGCATTTCCACCTCACTCAGGGGAAAACGGAAGTCATTTTTTATGATCTTTAGTCCTTACACAATCTGGCTATTTCCCTTCTACTTACCTCGCTTGGCTTTATTTTCTACTACTCTCCCCTCCTTCTCTGTGATCCAGCCACACTGAACCACTTGTGTTTTCTTTGAAGACATCAGACATGATCTTACTTCAGTATCTTTGTACTGGTCATTTCCTCAGGCTGGAATGTTCTTCCCCCAGATATCCACTTACTACTTCAAGTAAGTACACTCACTTCAAGACCTTGCTCTAAATTTATCTTTTCCCTAAACTCCTTCTTCAATCTAAAATTTCAACCTCTCAGGGTGTCTGGGTGGCTCAGATGGTTGGGCGTCTGCCTTCAGGTCAGGTCATGATCTCCAGTTCCTGGGATCGAGCCCCACGTCAGGCTCCCAGCTCAGCGGGGAGTCTGGTTCTCCCTCCACCTCTCCCCCTGCTTGTGCTCTCTCTGTTTCTCTCTCTCTCAAATGAATAAATAAAATCTTTAAAAAAATTAAAATAAAATAAAATTTCAACCTCTCTGCAACAGTTTTTATCCTCCCCTGCTTCATTTCCTCTTTGGCACTTACAACTCTCTACATAATCTATTATATATTTAATATTGTCTACCCCCTCCAAACACACACACAAGTGTACCTCCAGAAACCAAGTTGTAGAGTTGGCTATTGGCTGGACTTCAGGCAACAGGAAAAGTCAGGAACTACCTACTGCTGCTGTGGTATTCATGCATGTATTTACTCATTCAGTAATATATATAAAGTCCTACTATATATTAGGCACTGCTCTAAGTACCTAGGAAAATCCAGCAAATAAAACAAAGATCCTTGCTCTCATGGAGCCTACATTCTAGTGGGGAAAGATAGTCACAAACTACAATACATAATAATTGAGTAAATTTTATAATATGTTAGTTGATAGTACTATGGAAAAAATAAGGAAGGTAAAAGAGGATTGGGATTTGAAGGAGATCATAAAAACACGATCTTAAATATAATCCTAAATAACATGATCATAGGAGACCTCCTTGTGAAGCTACAGTTGGGAAGTAGGAAGATAACAGAAAGTTGAAATTTTATGTATAATCCAAATAAGAAAAGGTCTGAGGGAAGAAAATGGTTATTTATCTTTTGCTCAGTAATGCTCTTAATAACTCTTTGAACTAAGAATCAGGGCTCTTTTTCAGTTTATTAAGCCTACTAACTGAGGAAAAATGGCAGAATATATATGCCATTTTAGACATTCAGAATGCCAAATGTGTGTCTGCTATACATGT